CACAAGTGGACAACGTACCCAGAGGGAACAGAGCTGGCCGCTGTCATAGGTGAAAACTAGGTATGCAGTATCCTGCGCCCCCACCAGTGCTATAACTACCACTTACCCCAAGGTAAACAAGGGAGTAAAACCCCCAAACCCTTGGGGCGGCCAAACGCCAAGCAGCGAAAAGCCAACAGAGGTAGACCCAAGGTGGCTTGTGGAAGGCAACCCCAAGCCCCAAGGGCGGTACTTACAGGGCACTCAGGGAAGGTGACCCTTAGCACATGCAGCCTGAGTACCTGAGAATACTACTCCCAGCTCACACGACCACCGTAAGAGCAGCACTGCAAACAAGTAACAGCACTGAGACAAGACCGAAGCTGGAGCCACACGACCGTGCATTATCCCATCAGCCGAGGAACTGGGGTGGGGATCGCCGGCGCGGGGGTCTGGGGCTCCCCCTTCCCCCTCCCGGGGAGGGGGGAGCTGCGCAGACATGCGGCGCGGCTCGTGTGACGTCATGCTTGTTAGTTCGTTTTCCTGGGGAGTTCTGTCCACTCGTTTGTCGATTTTTGTTGTTAACCAGAATAGGGGTTTGTTTTGTGGCGCTTACCTTTCTGGGTGCCTGTCCCGGTCGATGGCAGATATAGAATGCTCCAAATCACATGTGCATTTCTATGGGCCATTGCTCCCCGTGCCTCTCTGAGGGGGCCAGGTTCTGGCTCGTGGTCCCCGGTAGGCCTAGAACTCCACCCACATCGACTGATGCAAAATAGTTAGGGTATCCATATCTGCCATGGATAGCTCCGGGAAGCCGTAGGGGCTTCCCCCAGAAATGTTTACTGTAGCAATATTACCTGAGAAAAATTCACTAAAATTACAATATGTACAGTTTCACACACTATTTACACAGCAACACACTGTATTACACACTCAGTACTTCGGAAGTGAGTAATAATCAACGAAGTATCCCATGGTACACAGAGTGACTTCGCTCTCGGTGCACCAGGTACAGATAAATTTTCGCTTCCTGTTTCTTCATTCTGTGTGCTTGCAAATAACGCACTCATGTACACCCTTGGCTTTAGTACTTGTAGGTTGTATGTAGCCAAATTTGTAAAGCGTAAGGTAGTACTGAAAAGATTATAGGAAAAGATCAATTTGTAAGGTAGTCTTGAAAAGATTGCTTTGTAATGTCCCACACAGGATGAGATTCAGCTTACCTCAAGAGTGTCTGTCAGTCAGGAAGAGATTCAGCTGGCCTCAAGAGTGTCCGTCAGTTGGGAAGAGATTCAGGTATTCTTGAAAATATCTATGGAAAACACCACCATGGAAGCCGCTAACACTGTTCATCTATGCTATTTGTATCAGATGCATCATCACTGAACGCAGAAAATGATTCATCTAAGTATCATCTAAATAAATAGCATAGGATTGTAATTGTGACGCACAGAGCTACAACTGGATACGCTCGCTGTACCGTCCTCACAGGTGCTGTATCACTTGAATCCGACCTTTGTGTTAGGTCCTTATTGCGCCTAGCTTCCCCAATATTATGACCCTTATGTTCTTCAAACAATAAGGTTTGAATTTCACCGACAGAGCGTTATCTTTCAACACCGCGTCGGACAGGTGTTTGGGAGCCAGAGGCGCGTGCGCCACCCATGGTTGCTCATTCAGCACTAACCCAGCCAGCAGCCCTAGGGCATTATGGGATTTTTTTCCAAGATGGCTGCCTCTCACTGGAGGTCCTAAGTGTCCATTTCGTACACAACCAGCCTCGTACACATTTAGAATTGGTTACGAAAAATCAAAATGAGTTTTCTCGGTTGGCGCAGTTTAGAAATTATAATTTAAATATGATAAACCATATATAATATTTGCTATATCAAGGATTTATAGCTTACATATAACTATTTGGCAGCACCAAGAATAAGCAACTGATATTGCAAAAATAGGGCATGAGGTGTAATGAAATGCTACCTGTGTGTGGCCCCCATCAGTGGCTCTAGAGCTTATGGTATTGGTATTGTATGGTCACACCTTTATTATCATGTTCCTGAGATAGTTGTAGCTTACCAAGAACCGGGATCAGAATCTAGCTTCCTCAAAGAGGCAAGGAAATTATGTGGGGATCAAAAATCGATCCACAACCAAAGTGATCCAATCCCAGAAAAGGTAAGGCAAAATGAGGCAAATGATAACTGGCAACAGGTAAATAACTCAAGCCCTAACTTCCCTGGCTGCCAACAGGAGGCATTCTTGAACTTCGGCCAGGATTTAGGTCAGCCAGCCAGGGGCCTGACAGCTGAGTGGACAGCTCTTGGGATTCGTATTCCTGAGAACGGGGTTCGATTCCCGGTGGAGGCGGAAACAAATGGGCAGTTTCTTTCACCCTGATGCACCTGTTTACCTAGCAGTAAATAGGTACCTGGGAGCTAGACAGCTGCTATGGGCTGCTTCCTGGGGGAGGTGTAACAAAGTCCTCGACCATGGTCTGGTCAAGGGCCGGGCCGTGGGGATGTTAAGCCTCGAAACCATCTCAAGATAACCTCTAGACAAGATAGCCTTTCTTACCTTTCCTTACCTTTCTTACCTTCGGCCACCCCCATCAACACACTAATCTATTTGGAGTGGGAAGATACTGAGGAAGCTGCATGGAAAGTTGAATTTCATTACACTACACCCTTTTTTTCTGTGATGGCTCCCTCAGTATTGTAGCTGCCTGAAGCTTACTCACATTCGTGCTTAAGAGAGAACAGCTTTGCTGAGGTGGAAACACAAACATATGAATATACAGAAAGACATAAAAGGAACTGATCCATAAGATAAATAGGCAGAATACCAGGATTTAGGAAAGTTGAGGCGAGTAGCAGTAGCACATCACTCTCGAAACCATACACAAACACGGCATGGTTGTGGAACATAAAATAGGGAATGAGTGGCCCCACCGTTAGACCACCAGAAACCTCAGGCCCAGAAAAGGGCCTGGGGTCCTTCCTAGGCCTGGGAAACAAAGCTGTCAAAAATGCTGCCCAGAGGTGTACAAAGGAACACCAAACTGGCTTATCAATGAAGCAAGTATGACAATGTCTACAGACGACAGACACTGCCGCACAATCAGTAGGCGAGGACAAAGTAAAAAAAAACAGACACGAGCCCAGAGACAAAAGATATGTCCCTACTGGAAAACAAATTCTGACAAGACCCACAGGGGAAATAAACTAGAGACCAGAATGGAACCCACAACCCCAAACATGAGGAAAGAAATTCTGGCAAACCTAGGAAAAAACAAGAAAGCCACAGACCTGCAGAACCCAATTACACACTTGGGGACCCTGGATGACAAAAGGAAGGCAGAAACTGGACACCAATCCAGACCAACCTACCACAGAGAGCCAAAAAGGGGAAAAAAACAGCAGTGAATGTTATTAAATGACTCTTTCCTGAAGCTATCTTGCTGAGATTGCTCCATACTAAAAGGTCATCTCAGTTATGGGAGTTCTGTTTGGCCTACTGGGACCAGAACCATAACTTGGCCCCCTCACAGAGGTGCAGAAAGCAAATGACAATCTGCAACCCCACCAGGAAAGCATCCACAAAGTCACCAAAGTTTTACAGACAACTGGAGGGTTTATAGAAAACAAAGCTTCGAGAATCACCAAACAACTCTGGAAACTATTCACATAACAAAAGCGTCACTTAAAACTAGCTTTAACTCGTTATCACTAACAGTCACCACTAGGTGGCTTGGCCCTAGTCACCAGATGGCTCCCAGAGTCGGTTCTTGGATCAGAAGCACTGAGACCCACTTTGAGAGATGGCAACTATGGAGAACTACTTTGACACACTGGGAACTACTGCAAGAGATGATGACCATGGAGAATTACTGTGATGCACTAAGCACCAAATCAGCAACAGAACCAAGTAGTGATCTGGTGGAGGACTAAGCTCCGGACCGCCTGATGGCAGCAGTCAGTAATAATTGGTCTGATCTAGTTTCAAGTTAATTATTTAGTTTTGGTTGAATTATTTGTGGACCTGTTTAGCATTTTTGAAGCTTCAAGTTTTATGAGCCCAGCAGTTGTCTGTAAAGTTTCCCTGACTTTCATAATGCTTTCCTGGCAAAATGGCAGAATGTCATTTGCTCCCTATGTCTGAAGTGAGGGGGCCAGGTTCTGGCTCTGATCTCCAGTAGGCCAAACAAAACTCCCAAACCTTATATGACTTAGTATGGGAAAAATCAAAGCTAAAAAAATAGCTAGCTACAAGGAGCCACCAAGGGGCTTTCTCAGAAATCCCTTATTCCGATGCAAAGACACAGAACAGCTAAGTTCAAGCCTCGGGGTCCCAGACTCCAAGAGACGGGGAAAACATACAAAAAAAAAAAAAGGATCAATTCCCCCTTGCTCATGACACACCAGCTTCTCACATTTATATAGTGGATGATGTGTGTGCCACTCAGTCAATCGGTTCAATATCACTGGGCCTGAGGCCATTTGCCAGTAGGGCCACAATAAGTCAAATAGGTTTCTTGGCATCAATAATGGCAAATCGCACATGCAGTTACTACCATTCATTAGTACAGCCCCCAGAGCAGGTTAAATCAGGGATTCACTCTACTCTGAACTTTGTTTGCACAATACTTGAATCTCTGATACTGTTAAATTTTTACATATAACAATGAACACAAACATATTAGTATCATCATTTCAATAGCCAAGCACGTCTTTGTTTGCACCAACATGCTGCTGGAACAATGATAGTAAATGAAGCGAGGAAGCAAAACTTTTGGAATAAAATTTATATTCACCCTTACACATTCCAAGTACAGTATTGGAAGTTAAACTTTTCATTTTACTCTCTAAACTTGTCTTCATATAAAACAGCACTGCATCCAGTATTTACATTATGCAAAATGATCAGAATACAATTATTATTTCAGATTGCCATATATAAATTAAAACCATACTAAAATTAAAAAAATTACTGTAACTTCATTATTGAGACATACTTACTCTGCTACACTGAGCCAGAGGGTGGTGTCTGGGGTTTGTGTTCCTGGGTCAGTTTTGGTCTTCTTACGAGGTGGAGGACGAACATTCGCCACTCCTCGTTTTGACACTAACACTTGCCTTTCCAAGACTAATATACCTAAGGCCTCCAATCGACTGCCTAAACAAGCTGAAAGATATATCACAATGTGATTAGACTATCTACCAAATACTTTATTATTATTATTATCAGTAATTGTAATCATCAGCAAATACTTAAAATAAAAATCCAGTGTTGAATGTAATGAAACGCCATTTTCTGGGTGAGTCCCGGAGGCTCCCTGGAGCTATCCAGGCTGAATGGATATGTATAACTTTCTGGCATGGTCAATGCATGGAGTTCTTGCCTACCGGGAACCACGAGCCAGAACCTGGCCCCCTCTAGAGAGGCACGAGGAGCAATGGCCTATAGAGACCCCCCTTATGATTGGGAGCATTCTATGCCTGCCATCGACCGGGACAGGCACCCAGAAAGGTAGGCGCCCCAAAACAAACCCCTATTCTGGTAAACTATTGCGACCGAAGACCGAACAGGTGGACAGAACTCCCCAAACGAAAATTAGCCCTCATGACGTCATCATGTCGCCGCGCCGCCGTCTGCGCAACTGCCCCCCCCTCCCCGGGAGGGGGAAGGGGGAAACCCCAGACCCCACCGTCGGCGACCCAATCATTAGTTCTTAGGCTGGATGTCAAAAACACGAAAAACACCGCGGACCGGAGGGAGGGAGGGATGCCGGGGAGCCTCTCAGACTCACCCAGAAAATGGCGTTTCATTACATTCAACGCTGGATTTCTGGGGCGAGCCCCGTTGGCTCCCCGGAGCTAACTACCCAAAGATAACGAAAAAACAGGGACTTACCCGGGTGGCGGTCCATCCTCACTCCTCAACGCGAAGGCGAAACAACTGGCTGCAACCGCCGACCCAAAGCAACGCAGGCCCGACGAGGCCCAGGAACATTCACCAGGTAGCGAGCAGCCAGGACCCTGTTTGATCTCCAAAAACCCCGGGCCCGAATGTCCACCCAAGACATGTTGCCAAAGACAGCCGCCAAAGCAGCAAACTTATGAACGTCGTGGGCCTGGGGAAAAACCGCAGGCTGGCAACACTTAATAACCCTGCGGACAACCTGAGAGACCCGAGCCCCGGAACAGGGAAGAAGGGAAACTGGATCAACCCAGAGCGCATCCCCGGCAACAGAAGCCGTGGCGTGCAAATAACGGTGGAGAGCCGCAACCGGACACAACACATGAGGTGCACCCCCGGCCTGACCAACCAAGCATCAACAACACACAGCCCCCTCCAGAACGCAGCCGTCTCATTCTTCGCCAGGAAAAAGGGAGACGGCTGCAAACGAACAAAACGACCACCAGGACCGAAAGAGCAGAAACCCCGGCACCAGAGGAAAGCATGAAGCTCGCCAACCCGACCCCCCGAGGCCAATGCCAACAGGAAAAGAGCCTTGGAAAAACAATCCCGAACTTAAGGGGCCACCAGAAACTTGGGCAGAGAGAGAAACGAGAGCACGCGGTCCAAAGACCAAGACGGCTCAAGCGGCGCATGAGCAGGCCGGAGGTGAAACAACGCCCGAGATAACTTGCGAAACGGGGCGGAAGTAACATCAACCCCAAAAGCAAGCTGAAGCGGCTCCGCCAACACCGCACGATACGAAGCGACAGTATTCGGCATAAGATGACGGTCCTGAAGCAGCCAAGAGAGAAAGGACAGAACAACCCTATCAGAGACCGAAGAACACCGACGCAGTGATAGGAAAAACCGGAAGGACCGCCAGGAAACCTCATACTGCCGCTGAGACGAAGCACTCAGGTGCTTCGAAGTTTCGACCAACAACGAAGCCACCTGCGCACCATACAACGAATGATAAACCCGAGTCAAAAACACCAGACGCGAAGACTCAAGGAGAAGATGGAACCAGCCTCGTATCGGGCCGGACCTATCTGCTGAAAGAGGCGGAGCCGCAGGAAGACCCTCGGGTATAGACACCGAGCAAGCAGCGCCTGAAACCAAGGCTGGGCCGGCCACTAAGGGGCCAGAAGGACAACACGACCCTGATAAGTCTGCAAGCGAGTCAGGACCTGGAGCAACAGCTGAACCGGGAGAAAGAGGTACAGGTAACCCCACCTCGCCCAGTCCAGCCTGAAGGCATTGACCACGACGGCTTTGCAGTTGGGAAAGGGCACCACATAAACCTGGAGATGCCTCGACCATGCCGACGCGAAGAGATCCACGTCTGGAGTCCCGAACATCCGGCACAGCCAACGGAAGGAGTCGGCATCGATCGTCCACTCCGAGGATAGGGGACGGAACCGAGACAGGCCGTCCGCCAGGACGTTGGACACCCCCCCCCGGACATGAACCGCCAGGAAAGCCAAACCCCGAGAACTCAGCAGACGAGTCACCCGAAGCCACCAGCCCCAGAGAGCCAAGGATCGCATCGAACCCCCTCGGTTCAAACAATGAACCACCGGGAAGCAGTCCGAATGGAGCCGGATCGTCGATCCGCGAGCGACTCAAATCCTCCGGAGCGACATCCACACTGCCGCGAACTCCCGCACCGTGCTGTGAGCCCGATGGAAAGACGGAACCCACCGCCCCTGGCCGGCCTGGTGAGCACTAGTCACAAAACCAGTGTCGGGAAGGCGCCAAGGCACCGAACCCCAAAAAACCCGAAAAGGAAGCCGGCGACGCAGCAACTGACGCAAAGCCCCCGAGGTCAAACCCAACGATCGCAAGAGAGGCGGAAGGGCCGGCCCCGAAGGAACCAGAACAGCTGACGAAGCCATACCCGACCCGGCGGGTAGACCATCAGGCAAAGTTCAGGCTCCTGCACAAACTCTCGAGCAACCGCCTTGTGACCCGGGAACCCCTCAGAAACGGGCGAAGGCGGGACTGCAGGCGCAAGAGAGCCGCCGGAGGAAGAGACAAGGAAGCAGCACGAGCGTTCCACACCAGACCCAGCCAAGATCGAACCTGAGAGGGAACCAGATGGGACTTCCTCCAGTTCACCAAGAACCCGAACCTGGCGAGCTGGGAAAGAACCAAATCCCTGGCGAGCAGACACGTGGACTGGCTGGGAGCCCAAACCAGCCAGTCGTCGAGATAGGCCAGCACCCGAACACCTAGCAGGCGGGCCACCACGACCCGAGTGAGGCGTGTGAAAACGTGAGGCGCAAGATTCAACCCGAAGGGAAGACAACGAAAGCGGTAACCTTAACGCCCCACAACAAAACCGAGCCAGTCCCGGAACTACGGATGAACCGGGACGTGCCAATACGCGTCCTTGAGATCCAGGGACACCATCCAAGCGCCCCTCTCCAAGAGAAGACAGACCTGGGACAGCGTAGTCATCCGAAAGGAAGGGGCACAACACCCACGGGTTCAGATGGGACAAGTCCAGAATGAACCGGAGGTCTGCGCAGTCCTGTTTCGGAACCGGAAACAGGCGGGAAACCCACCTGAGGGACGACGTCGTTTCGACTACGCCCAAGCAAACCCACTCTGAGATGACCCGACAGAGTGCAGGAGAAGAGGCCTGCCCCGCAAGCCCCGAACTCCCCGAGGGAGGAAGAGCCACCCAACGCCACCACAGGCCGCGCGAAACGACCCAAAAAGCCCACGAATCGTGGGACCAGGCATGGCCAAACCGGGCGAGCCGCCCCCCCCATCGCCCCGTCAATGGGGCGAACCGTGAAAGGGCCGACGCGCCTTGCGAGAACCAAGGCGGCGAACAGGACGGAGCCCACTCCGTCCAGCAACAGCCAGAACCGAAGGCGCCGCCAGTCCAGAATCTGGCACCAAAGGCCTACCCTGACGAAAAGACCCCCCGAGCCCTGGCACGACCCTTCCGGAAAGGCCCCCCAAAGAGCCCCCCGGAGCAACAACAACTTCGACATAGGCCAACAACTGACCGAGGCCGCCTGCAGATACTGCCCCAAAGCAGACTCTGCAAACAGCAACGGACAAAAGGGCGAGGACAAACGAAGAGCCAGGGCCCAGGTGGACTCCAAGGAGGAAGCAGCACCACCTGATGACATGCGAGGCGAGAAGCATAGAACCGCGAAACCGCATCACGCAGGATGGGCGCGAAGAGTTTCAACAAAGCAGACGATGCCTGCACAGCCGAGGGCAGCACACCAGACCCAGCAGCGACCCCAAGCGCTCCCACATCCAACTCAAGCCAATCCGGGGATAGCTCAAGGAGGGAAAAGAAACGCAGAGCTGAAGCAAGCAGGCCACGAGTCCGCAAATCCTCCGCAATCAAGGCAGCCAAGATGGAAGGAACCTGCACGTGAAGCTGCATGACACCAACATCCCGCGGAAGGGCAGGGGCAAACAAAGAAGCATTCAGATGCTCGAAAGCGCCCCTCAGGAAAACCTGCAACGCCAAGGAAACCTCTTGCCACTCAAGCGCGGGGGACCGACAGAACGTGTGCCAGTCTCCAATGAAAAGAGAGGACTGTCTGCCAACCAGGACGACTCCGGAACCTCATAACAAAACCAGCACGAACCTAGGGATCAGTACACGAAGGAACGAGGATCCATCAGGAAGGCATAATCCAGGTCACGCAAGATGTAAGCCGCCAAGGCCTCCCGCACTTCCGTAGCCGAAACACGGGAAGCGGGAAACCTCTGGAAAGATGGAACCGAAGAACCCTCGGGATCACGGAACTGAACCCGGGAAGGGGTGGATACCAAATCCAATTCGTACGCGGAGGGAGCGAAAGAGAACTCCTCTCTTTGTAACACCAAGCCCCGCTCGGAGGGCAAAAAAACCCAGGCGGAGTCCAACGGGGCCCAAGGCCCCCAAGCCAATCCCTCCTCAACCCCAGGAACCTCACACAGAAGCCCCGGGGCTGAGCCGTCCTCCTGAGCCCCCACCCCCAAAGAAAAGGTGGGAGCAGCCGACAAAGCAGGAACAAAGGGGGCGCACTGGCCAGACCCAGAAGCTTTGGCAGAAGGACCAGGCTCGAATGCCTCCGCCACTGCCCCAGAAGGGGACACCCCCGAGACCGCCCGAGTCTCACAACCGACTAAACCCAGCCCCGGCTCCGAAACCCTCAGACGTTTAGGAGCCGGCAGCAAAGGGGGGGGGGGACCGAACGAGCAACAGA